GGAATTGATGGCCAAAATAGCTTTTCTCAACAGACTAATAAAACATACTTAAAAATGCATATAATATACCCTATTGCATTCAACAAGCCAAAGAACAGAAGAGTTTGTAAAACCAGAAAATAGATTCCAGTATAGTTTACTGAATCTACTATAAAAAACTGGTTTCCATACAAAGCAACTATAGAACATTTTTGAATTTGCAGATAAATACTTAACTGAAAAGTACTGCTTCCAATATTTTGTCATATTGTTGCTTTGACATATCGAATTGTTTTCAAGTAGTAAGAAAAACTTGTTTCCTAAAGATCGAAAACAAATACACGATTCTCTTTCCCAAAAGCATTGCTTATTTTCTAGCTAAACTTTGTTTTAAATGTATTGTCATTTATTTTCTTTCAAATAATTTTCCTTGAGTGTGAGAAGACTGAAAAAAGAAAGTAGGCTGCTTTATATATATTCTAGTGAAGAAACTTCAGCATTTAATTCTGACTGATTGGCAACATGTTTGGTGTATTCAAGGGACCCTTTTGACTCATTCCTATTTAAGCAAGAACCCTGAAATTTTTTCGCATGGTTTGGCCATTATTAGTAATGCAGGGTTACTGTTGGAGTAAAATGTTATCTCTTTCCCTTCACAAGCAAATTATAAGTAAATCCTGAGACTTTTGAATAAGCTCCCCCAGGAATTAAAATTTTCGAAGTATCATTCCATTGGGATTTCTCAGGCTCAGTGCACTTTATAAAATGAGTGCAAGAGTTTAACATCTTTGATGAATGTGAATTCTTGGATAAACAAAACTAAACTTTTTAGCTAGGGGAGATTTCTGTCTTTAGAAGTCTTCATGATTATTAACTCTTCTTTTTGTTTCATGTCATATGAAAGATATCCCAAAGCCTGTTTTGCTCAAGAAATTAATACTTGTTATTTTAATACTAATTGGAATTGTTGCAATTTTAATGTAATCCTAATTTTGCTGGCATTATTGTATAATGTTACCCTTCTCATTTACTCATTTCATTTACAATTCATTTGCAACTATTTCAAAAATGAGTTTTATACTTCACAATTCTTGAATTAATATTTCTGCTATGCAGATCTTTCAGGCATTTCATCTCTGTGCAAAAAAAAAAAAACTTTATTTCTGAATCTGTATCACACTAGCTCTATTAAACATTTAAATCACTTCTACTTGCCTATGTTTATGCAAAGCATTATTGGTTCCTCATAGATAATCAGTTGATCCAGACAATATTAAGGTCAGGGGTGAGATTCTACCAGTTTGCACCTATTCGCTAGAACTGGTTAACATTCTAAGCAGTTTGGATAACTGGTTGTTAGAAGAAATTACTGGCCTAATCCTGTAAGGAAGGCAGGAAGGAAATATTCTGGTGTTGCCTACAGAAACTGCCTCTCCGTTAACCCTTATTACATTCTTGGCAGGACTAGAGTTCCTGTCTCTGGAACTTCTCTGGAGTTTTTTTCCCCTCCTTTGCTGGTACTTTGCTTGTGTGGAGTGACCATTCAAAGTTACAATGGCACTGAAAAAAGTGACTTATGACCATTTTTTACACTTACGACTGTTGCAGCATCCCCACAGTCATGAGAGGCCAGGCGAGGAGTTGCGTGCCTCGATGTGAGTGATATTGAGTTGGCCACACCCAGCCAATAACATGACCACCAAGCCACACCCACCAAGTTAGCCACGCCCACAGAACCGGTTGTTAAAAATTTGAATCCCACCCCTGATTAAGGTTCATTGCAAGAAATCTAAGATATAAACAGGTTTGATTGAACATTTGCCTGAATTTGTGTTCTTTTTAAAAAACTTTATTAATCTTTTATATCTTTTAAAAACAAACAAAGGTTATACATATCTTGACATTGACAGTTTGTTGCCTGCACATTGTTATGCTTATTCTTAGCTGTCCAAACCAGATAGGTTGAGGTATCAAAAGATTATAGTAGGGATTTTGGTAACTAAGAATATGTTCAAATATATTTACTAAATAAATTATTATCAAAGAAAGGATATTATTTCTAAAGATGGTTCATGAAACTGTTGGATGAATCCCAGGCTATAGGTGCTGGAGAAACCAACTGTACCAAGAACAACAACAAGGGTGTAGCCAAGTGCACATTTCAAAAACACTTGTTATGAAAATATGGCTGGAAGGAATTTTGTGGTGCTTATTTGCAATATGTGTGCTTCCTATGTAAAACACAGCAGGATTGACAGGAATGTGAACTCTGTAGTTGTTCAACTTTAAAAAAATAGGAATCTGCAAAAAAAAACTAATAGGAAAAAGAGGAGGGTTGCTAGTAATTATAGTCCTGCAAAGACTATCAATCCTGAAATAATACAGAAAGAAAAATTGTACATCTTGTCATGGCGGGATATAAGGAAAAGAAAAACATCCTTGGAATATTTGATTTTGTTGTAATAAACTGAAGTGATAGCATATCAAAGGGGATAAAATATTCCAATTAAATTTACATTTAATTACTTTTCTGCTTAGTATCCATACCAGTAATATTGACTGGATTTATACAATGCTTGAATCAATCAATAACCACATTTTATTCTTGCAGGTTGTGGGAACTATCCTCAATAGTTCATTGGTTCGTGCAAATCTAGAATGTGGGATTAATTAAGAAAACCATGGTTAATTTAATCATATATAAACATGCCATGCTAACAAAAATTACTGAGAATTGCTATCTTCCCCTCTTTCTGTAATGATTGTGAAACCGAAACAAAGCAATAAAATGAGGGGATAATATTACAAGGAATATATTAAAAATATATCATCTGTGCAAAATGGCATTTTATATGTGGAAGGACAATATGAAAGAATAGATTCTTATCTTGTAATTCAAGCATTTGATGAAGAGAAACAGGAAAAAGAATAATGGTAAATTGAGGTGCTTTTACTTTTATGGTGCCTTCGAATCAGAATTGATTCCTGGCAATTTCCTGAATGAATAAGTCCCTGTGTTTTTCTTGGAAAGAATTTAGAAAGTGAAATTTCCTTCTTCCTAGAGTTGAGAGAGAGTGACTGGCCTCAGGGTCACCCTTTGCACTTAAGGCAGGACTAGAACTCATTCTTCTGGTTTCTAGCTTGTTGCCTTTAACCACTACACCAAACTGGCTCTCAATACTGGTAATAGTGAAGAGAAATTCAAAACATTTACACTGAATATTTGCTTAAAAAAAACATTTTGTTTTTTTCCTAATAAACTTTGTCCAAAATTCCTTTATTATGTATTATAAACATTTCTATACTTCCCAGGTCCAATACTATTTTTGGTTTTCTTCAGTTTATAACATAAATGGAAGGGTGCAAAGTGGGAGAAATTCAGCAAAGTAACTAAGTAACTAATGGTTACTTATCTACAGAAAATAGATAACACCAGCCTTGGTTAGAGGATCCAAAACCTTACCGAATCCAGAGAAGTATAAACGAAATATGATACAGTCTAATTTTCCATTCTATCATGTTGCACATTAAACTTAAGCTAGGAAAATAGATATTTTTGTACCTACAGTAACACATGTACATAATTAACGAGGACTGTTCAGGTAGCTCATAGAGGAATGAATAAGGTACTATAGATAGTTCTTGACTTACGACCAAAATTGGGACCATAATTTCTGTTGCTAAGCAAGTCTGCTGTTAAATGAGTCACATCTGATTTTACAACCTTTTTGCCATGCTTGTTAAGCAAATCATATTAACTGAATCATCTGGTGATTATGTGAATGCAGCTTTCCCCAATTGACTTTGCTTGTCGGAAGCCAGCTGGGAAGGTTGCAAGTGGCAATCACATGACCCCAAAGTGCTGCAACCATTATAAATACATACTGATTGCCAAGCACCTGAATTTTGATCATATGACTGTGGGGATGCAACAGTTAATGTGAGGACCTGTTAATCACTTTTTTCGGTGCCCTTATAATTTCAAACAGTCACTTAGAGAACAGGTTATAAGTCAAGAACTATCTGTATAGCAGGGTGTCAAACTCATGGCCCATGGGTTGGATGCATCATGGGCTGGCCATGTCCATCCCCGGTTTTGCGAAGGGGAAAAAGTTGTGATACGTCACATGACAACAACATGTCATCGTGAGTTTGACACCCCTGCTGTATAGCAAGCTAGCTTTCCATGGGGATGATGCAAACAGTAACCTACTGATTCTGAAGGGGCATCAGGCTGATAGAGAATATGTAGGCAACATTTTTCTTCAACATGAGCAGAAGATAAACATTAACGAAGTTATTTCACTTTCCAAAAGTTAAATTCAACTTCTGGAAGACAATTAAGCAAAATGACTGGTTTATACCTATATTTCACTCTTCTACATTTTCAATTTAAAGAATTTAATTTACCCAGAAGATTTTAGGGATTCCTCCTGTATTTGTTAATAAAGATACAGGTTTCTACAAAACTTGATCGTCGAATACAATTCTATAAATAAATAAATACCTATTTTGTGGGTCAGATCAGAAGAGTGTTAAACATTAACAGTGACTTTAGGTCAAACTACTTTGTCTTAAACACATGTGCTTAAGAATGAGTTTATATTGTACCCATTTGTTCTATTCCCTCCAAAATGTAGGGGTTTGATCTATGTTGGTACTTTGAGAAATGAATTAACTCTTATTCCTTTAATTATTATTATTGTGTCCTTTGCCATTTCCATCAAACTATTTTCTTTTAAAAAAATATAATTGTTTGAAAATTGTATATTTGCGGATAAACAGATATTTTTGAGTATAATTCCCAATGAGAAAATAATACAAATGAGAAAATGTTCAATAAATTCTGTGCTGACATCTAAACCTAATTAGGGATTTTGTAAGCTTTTTTTGCACATGTATTACACTAAGTATATTCAGAAATATGTGCTTAGTATAATATATACCCTAACCCTGAATTACATTGCAATTTATAGAACAGATTATAATTTGACCTAATTTTTCAATTTATCCAATTCTAGATCAGAACAGAATTTATTTGGGAATCGCACAGTTATGAAAAATGAATTAAACTGAAGAGGACCTTCTCAAAAATAAAACCAAGACAATTTTACAGAATACCAGAATGGCAGGACAGAAAGAATAAAAAATGAATGTGGAGAAAGTAGAGGAAAAAGTCTTGCAGTCACCTTTAATCATCAGGGATGAAAATGGCAATAGATGTGTGAGTAACACCATTGGATCTTTGAATGGAGGCACTGTTAGTCATCCTCACCAAGGAGTAGAAAATGAAGGCTGTAAAATATTTAAAGATACAGCTGGGCTCAAAACCATTTCTTCAAGTCCACGCATTGAAGAGCAAGACTTGCAGAAAGTTGCCAGTGATTATATTTGCATGGGGACTTCAGACCTGAAGGCCACACAGTACTCTTTTTCAAATGAACAATTTTACATGGATGCCATGAATCAGACTTTCCTGGAGTCAGAGAGCTGTGGCAAAGAAAGCCTTGCAAAGGAACAGAATTGTAGTACTGGGAAATCAATGCCTTGTTGCCAGACAGATCTCATGAATTTAGTACCCCTGGCCTCTAAGGAAAGGAGCACTATTGAAATCCAACATGCATTAGGAAGTGCCCAAATGGAACAGAAAGATGCTAATACAAATGAATCTTTAATTACAATAATAAATTTGGAGGACACAATGAGTAAATGTTATGAAGTAGCAGGTATTTCTGTCAGTTCTCAGAAATTAGGTGAAACTTTCATCTGTGACTACCACGCTGGCTCTCCTAACCTAGAAGTTTTCATCAATTCAAATGCAGCAGATATATATCTAGAGAAGGGTGTGCAATCTATTTCCCTTTCAATGGCAGAAGATGAGGTCACCAATTATATTGATTTAGTTTCGCAGAATAGTGAACAGCCTGAAAAGCAAGGACAGCAGGAGGCTGGTTCTTACAGTAAGCAATTATCTGAACCAGAACAGTTTGATATGTGGAAAGACAAGCATAAGAAATATATGCATAGCACTCCTGAACAAGATGAAAATAAATCGCTGGCTAGGCCTAGTATAGATTATGATATACATGACATTTGCCATTTAGCCACTGAAAGCTTTGATGAGCATTCCAAACTGGAATTTTGTGAAGATGAAGTGCACATGACCAAAATCCAGAATCTTTTCAAAGAAAATGAGGCTTTGTTGAAGGGACCTAGTGAAATATATGAGCACATACAAAATGATACACAAAAGCCAGAAAGAGTTGCTTTGTCTGAGCACAACTGTCAAGCAACTTTCATTGTTTATAACTCCCCAGCCAATGACCATACCTTGACTTGCCCTCCTACTGTGGGGTCAAAAAATGCAACTTTTGCTGTCATTTCCATGCCAGATGATCCTGGTGATGGATCTAAACCTGGAAAGAATACTCCCTTGGTAAAAGATCATTTCAGGAGTCCTTCACTTAAAAATAATCCTGAACAAATTGTAGTAAAATCAACAAAAAGATCTCCTCTTACAGCTACTATAACCAAAGCTAGGAAAGCAGAAATTGTGAGCTTTCCAAAACCAAATTTTAAAAACATTAAGCCAAAAGTTGTCTCTAGGCCTGTGCCACAATGTAAGGACAGTGCTGCTCTAAAAATAACTCCAAGATCTCCACAGCTATCTACTGCTTCCTCCTCCTCCTTGTCTTCCTCGCCAAAGCAACCATCTTTTTTGTTTGCAGCACTGAGGAAAAAAAAGGACTTGGATAAAGGCACCAAACCAGAAACACCTATGAATAAGACTCATAAGCAACATTTTAATAAACAGCTTCCTAGCCAAGGTGTGCATGCTCCAACTTATTCTGAAAATGTTTCTCAGAAGATTCCAAAACCAGTGTTAAAGCAGACTGTGGATCAGGTTGAGAGAGCAAAGCATCTCAGTTCATCATGCTTCCCTATGGCTCTAAAGAGCTCCCAGAACTATGGTGGGTCACCAGGTGAAGGGATGGATAATGCAGAAACTTTGATTCAGCCTTGGGCTGTGAGTAGCTGCCAAAGAGCTCAAGAAAACAAGCATTCAAATGACTGTTCAGGGATTCCAAGCAAGACATCTACCCAAGAGGTTATAAACAATGGCCATGGACTAGTGCAGATTTGTTCGGTAAGTTTATGTGTGCATTATGTACTGTCTGATCTTCAGTTATGTTTTTCACTGATTGCATGTTTGTGAACTGAAAAACACTTTATTTCTGAGGTTATGATGGTTGCCACTTTGATTTTATAGGCAGAAAGGGTAAAACCATATTTTCCCCTAAATAGTATTTATTATAAACATTGCTGATTTAGGTTTGGTTTTTTTTAAACAAATTTTATTAATTTTACAGACACGCAAAGCATCATTAAACATTAAAGACATTGAACCTCTTTCCATTATAAATTTTACAAGGCAAATAAAACATTGTTTTATACAATACAATTCTAATATATCCCATTTCCACTTAAATATTTTTTTGGCAAATTTCTCATTATTTCTCTTTACTCTTATTCAATTACATTTCTTCTATATTTATCCATTTTATACTCATCATATTCATATTTCCCTCTGCCTTGTTTACAAATATTCCTCTCGCTTTCTCCCAAGGTTTTATTAAATCTCAATCAGACATACACACACAAAAACATAAAACTTCTTTTTAAAAAGTAGCTTGGCCCCGGATTACCTCTCTTTGTATGGACTTCAATTAAATTCATGTTCAACTTATATGCCATTACCTATCTTATTACCCTTCTATATCTTTATTATAACTTCTCCCCGCTTTCCACTCTTCTTAATTCTATTTTATTTATTTCATCTTAATTTAAATCATTGTATTTGTATCTTTTGTCCATTCTTTTCAATTATCCGTTTATCTCATTCATATTAGAAAAAAAATATTTCTCCTGAAATCACTAATCGAAGTATGATGCCTTTCCATCACTCCCCTACATTAACATCTAATTCCCTATCTAATTCTGCTTAGTACATTCTACTTACTAAAATAGTAAATCCATAAAGTAATTAAATATATAATTAAACATTAAATCTCATAGCTTTCCAATTATCTATTTCAAAAACAAATACCATAATAATAAGTTCGTACGAACATCCACACAATAGTCAATTAAACTCTATGCTTAAACTAAATGTTTTAGACATTCCTTTTAATATTTTATTAAATCTTAAAATCTATCATTATTAAACCTTTAATATTTTAATTTTTACTTAAGCCTTATAAAATTCTAATTTTCTAATTCTCATACAAATACTACAATACTATCATGTACCTTGCAGAAACATTTTGAAACAAAGTTATGCATTACCCATTATCCATAAAAAAAAGATTTCTTCTCCACACCTTATTTCATACCTTTTTGGCTTTTTTCCCCCTTCTTCCTTCCTATCTTATCCCATCTGGTCTTTTTACCCCCCTTCGCTCCCTCCCTCTGTTGCATTTCTCTTTTCTTTTGCTTTCTAACAGTATATTGATTTTGCATCTTATTTTTCTCTTTCTTGGATGTTTTTTTTAAGTCTTATGTCCTTTTAGACTCATTAAAGATGGCTTCTTCTTCTTCTTCTTCTTCTTCTTCTTCTTCTTCATCTTCATCTTCATCTTCATCTTCATCTTCATCCTCCATTAATTGCTGTGTTTGTTGATAAGTAGCAAGCGCCATTTCTAAAAAGCAAAAAATTTCTCTCACACCGTCTTTACCTTCTTTTTTTTATCCTCTCTCAGTTCATCAACAAATAAAGCCATTATAAACCTTTTCTTCTTCTTTTTTCTCTTCTTCTTTTTAAAACAACCATGGTAATTCAAAACTTAAAACAATTCCCCAAAATCCCAAAGTCATCAAACAGTCCAAACAGAACACAAAGTTCTTCACACTTTTTCTTCATGGGGTAATATCAATTGGCAAGGGAAAAAAAACCCAATCTGTATTTTAAAGTCTCATTACAATTAACTTCCAATCTCAAAATCTTCCAGGCATCTCCTCCAGCAAAATCTTAATGAAAAATTTCTTTTTGTCCTCTCCCTTCCCACTTATAACAGAAAGCTTTAAATTTTTATCTTCTATAAAATAGCAGGATTTTCAATATCCATTTGTTAAATCCATGTGGAAGGAGAGTAAACTTTCTCTTAAAACACTTTCACTCGCCGCTTGTAAATCTCTTCTGGAAACAAAGTATCTTTCAAAAAATCCGAATTTTCAGGATATTACTTGTATTACTTGTATCTTATAGTCCAGTTCAGCCAAGAAACTTTCGCTTCAGCACTTTCTCTTCCTCCAGCACGATCTTGTCCAGCTGTCAGCTTCTTTGTGGCGGCCATTACAGACCGCCGCTCCACCGCCTTGAGAAAGAGGGTTAAGCCGGGTGGGGAAGGGGTCTGCGAAGACCCCAACCCCCTGTCCGGATCCCTCCTATCTTGGGCTGCCTCTTCATGGCAGCCCTAGCCTCCAGATCAATAGATCGGAGGCATCAAAGCGGCTAGTGCGGCAGGGATCGTGCAGGATCGCAAATCCCTGCCGCTCGCGAAGCCGACAAACCGGAAGTCCCACTGATTTAGGTTTTTTAATATATATTTTTATTGAATGGCTTTACATAGGTAAAAGAGAAACAGGAACAAACATGTAAAAAGATAAAAGTACTAGAATCAGATAGAGAAAGAGTTTAAAAAGCAGTTTACAATTTTCCTTATAGGAGTTGCTAAATTTTTATTATTTCTCTTTCTAAAACTGCATTATATATTTCCCAACTTCCCATATTCAGTCCATTATAGTTGACAAACCTAGGAATCACCAGTTCATTTTTACACATTATCAGCAAAAAGATCATACAAGCTTTTCAGATTTATAAAAAAATTATAGAATTTATTTTATAAAAAATAAAAATTCTGGTTTCCACTGGATATTATTTTTTAAAATTTGAGACATCATATGTATTGTTGTCCAGTACTTTTTCACCTTTTTACATGTTTACCATGTAATGCTGGTTTGTAACTTAATAGCTACAAACTACACATACATAGTTAGCTGCTGCCTGTTTCTACTTTAAACACTGAAGAGAAATGCTAACACAAAAATCACAGACTAGTTGGCATGTTTTCCTTGAGGCAGAGCCTTTGTTTTATCTTTTTTATTGAGCATTATGTTGCAAAATTACATCTTATTAAAGATCTGATGTGTCCATCCACTATAAGTCTAATACAAAAGAACTAATTTGTTTACAATTTGAATCTAACCTAATCATCTAATCTTATTGTAATCTATCTATGGCTTAACGTAAATTGCTTTAAGAATACAATTAATACAACATAGTGCTGCAAAATAACACTTCTTAGCTTTCAGTTCAGCATTAGTTAACATCATTTTGTATTTTGCAAATCTTTTTGCCTTGAAATAAAAAAATATGAGTAAATAATCTGGCATTATCAAACCAAACCAATAATTTGGTTAACATGCAGCTACATACGTTTTGCAATGAGAATTTTTTAGCAAGCTTCCAGCAAACATGCAACGTAGTTAAAAAGTATGTGGATGTGTCTGTCTTAAATATTGGTATAAAATTGAGTGCTAGTATTACAAACTTAATATTGGCATTTAATAACATTTAAAACGTATATATGAACATTCACAATTTAGATTCCCAGTACCCGCTGATTGCTTCTGCTTTAAATTAGGAGTTACAAGTTTTTGGGGTCTCCATGAACAGCTGAAATTTCATGGAAAAAAATGTTGTTTCACTCCAACAATATTTGGGGACATTTGTGGCGTGTCAGGAAAAAATCTTCATGCTTACCACAAAAAGTTAATTACAACATGAGATGATTTTGCAACAATAGACACTTATCTTTACATACTCCAAACACACACAATTAAGTGCCAGAAATAGTGTTGCAATCTTATGGCTGTTTGTTGCCTTCTCTGCTTAATCAAGAGTTCATGGATAACTATCATTAACAAAAATGTATCTACAGTATGGAAAATTTGAGGCCTTTACTAGCACATATAATCAACTGAACAATGCTTCATTAGCGGTAGTTACTTTGTGCTCTGCATTATATGACTAAGAGTATACATGTGTCTACATTTATTTTCCCCATCTCTTTGTTTTTTCCATATGGTATTAAATCATGCAGGTTTCTTTGTCTAAAACAGACACAGCACAAGGACAAGGTTTTCCTAAAGGCAGTCCTGTACCGCCATCTAAAATTGCATTCCCTTCTAGGAGAGGAAGTGAGAGTAAAAATACTCATGCAACCAAACTTTCATCTCCTCAAAGACATATTTTATCGTCAAACTCTGGTGAGAAACATTTTTGTCTATTATCGTTCTTGTGCAGAATGTGTGATAACCAAGTGTTTCAATTAATATAAGTTTGAAAAATATATTCACTAAAAATTAATTGAATTGTCATTGTTTTTCCTAAACACTGCACCCTAAGTCAATTAGTTGCAATTATGTGTAGTCTGAAATGTTTGGGTATAAATTCTATAATATCACATTGTACTAAGCCATAATATTTTAAATCATTATTAAAACGAGCCATAAACTGACCTATCCTGTTACAGTTTACTGTATTGTTTCAACCGGGATATGATTCCACATTAGGTCAGAGAATAGGGGGGAGGGGAAGCATGCAAGCACTCTAGAGCAGGGCTCTCCAACCTTGGCAGCTTTGCTGGCTGAGGAACGCTGGGAGTTGAAGTCCACAAGTCTTAAAGTTGTCAAGGGTTGGAGACCCCTGCTCTAGACCATGGGTGTCAAACTCACCATGTGTCATTGCCATCATGTGATTTTTCGCGATGTTCTTTCCCTTCTCAGAGCTGGGGTGGACATGGCCTGCATGTGACGCATCCGGCCTGCGGATTGCCAGTTTGACACCCCTGCTCTAGACCAAAATCCTGGCATTTATGTCAGTTATCTGTTTTGTCTTGCTTTTACTCTTAGAATAAATTGAGGTTTGGGAAAAAACTTCCGGTTTGTCGGCTTCGGCAGCGGCAGGGATTCACGATACTGCGCGATCCCTGCGGCGCTAGCCGTCTTGGTGCCTCCGATCCGGACGGGTTTGGAGGCTGGGGCTGCCCCGTAGAGGCAGCCGAAGACAGGGGGGATCCGGAGAGGGGTTTGGGGGTGTTGCAGACCCCCTCCCCAGCCAAAAAAACCCCCTTTTCTCAAGACGGTTGAGCGGCGGTCTGTAATGGCCGCCACAAAGAAGACGACAGCTGGGTAAGACTGTGCAGGAGGAAGAGGAAGAAAGTTTGTGAAGAGAAAGTTTTTCTTGGCTGACCCAGGACTTTAAGACGCACCTAACATCCTGAAAACTATGACTTTTTGAATGATATTTTGTTTCCAGAGGAGAATTTTAAGCAGCAAATTCGAGGTGCTGAAAAGGAAAGTTTACTCTCCTTCCCTATGGAATCAACAAATGGATATTGAGAAACCTGTCTTTTGATAGAAGGTAAAAATTTGGCTTCTTGTGATAAGTGGGAAGGGAGAGGACAAAAAAAAAATATTGAGATCTTGTTGGAGGAGATGCCTTGAAGATTTTGAGACTAGAAATCAATTGCAACAAGGCTTTAAAATACAGATTGGGCTTTTCTTTTCTTTTTATTGATATTACCCCAGGAAGAGAAAGTGAGAACTTTGTGCTTTGCTTGGACTGATTGATGACTCTGGGACTTTGGGACTGTTCTAACTTTTGAAACATCTTGGTTGTTTTAAGAAGAAGAAGAAAAAAGAAAAGATTTACAATGGCTTTACCTGTTGATGAACTTAGAAAGGAATATGGAAAAATAAAGAAAGAAGGCAAGGACGCTGTGAAAGAAGCCTTTCATTTTTTAGAAATGGCGCTTGCTATTTATCAGCAAACACAACAACAGATGGAGAAAGCAGAAGCAGAAGCAGAAGCAGAAGCAGAAGCAGAAGCAGAAGCAGAAGAAGAAGAAGAAGAAGAAGAAGAAGAAGAAGAAGAAGAAGAAGAAGAAG